ACTAGCGTTCACAACTCCTAGCAACGGCTTAAGTAGAATTCAACATTTAAACATGAAATGGTAAAATTTTGAATTTAGAAACATCCGCAGATGTGTTCAAACGGCGGTTATCATGGAACCTTCAATGTGACACGTCCGTGCCATTCCATGAAAAGCGGCGTATGGTCCCCAAGTAATAAAAAGCGTGTGCCCTAAACGAAAAAAAAAAAAACAATGGGCGGAACTAAATAAAATGGAATTTTGAAAGGAGATCAGAGGTTATGAATCCTGCATATCACAGATAAGACGTCAAATGACAAGTTAAAAAGCAGGCAACATATCCTAGGGGTGATTCAACATTATTCATGTAGGAAAATTGGAACCACCCAACTAGAAAATGCTGAAAAGTTAAAACTAAAAATACCACAAGCACAGCAATTATGTCGTGCTGAACGATCTTTAAGGATAGGAAATATAACAACTCTGATTGAATGTACGGGGCGACTTTTTACAGCCTCCACACGGCACAAACAACGCTGATGTGGCGATAAAATAGAGAAAATAAGAACCCCTAAAGAAAGCCAATCATATTGTATTGACATTATTATGTGCCGAAAGTTAAACGTAGAAGATTATGCACCATTATTTATAGAAAATGCATTTTCTCTCCATATTTAGAGGTTACCCTAGCGCTATAAAGATAAGCCTTCTTTATTGATGACGACAGGTGTTGACTGAGTTTCCATACGGACTTAATCAGACAAATATTTAGGATGGTAATCGATAATAAAGTTACATGAACACAACAATTGTAGGCCTCTTGTCCAGCATTTATGCGGATTAAAATATACAAATAACACAGACTGATACAGAATTAAGTCACAACAGATTAATAGAATGAGTTCAATAAATTTAGTATTGAATCTACACGAATAATTCTATTAATCACATATCTAAAACTGTTAAAAAGTGGCTCGCCTATAGTACAACGAACGGAAGCGTCCTGGTGCCAATTTAACATGTTCTATACAAACGATAACTCTTAGGTAGGAGATAAAAAAAAGCCTACTAAGGAGTTTATAATTCCTACGTAGGCCTTTATAAGTCCTGCGTTGGACTTTACAACTCCTACGTAGGAGAACACTTATAAAGCCCTACGTGGGAGCTACAAACCCCTAATAAGGCTTTTTATCTCCTACGTAGGAGTTACAAAGTCCTTCGTTGGACTTTTTAAGTTATGAGTTATAAACTCCTTATTAGGCTTTTTCTTATCTCCTACCTGGGAGTTATAAAGTCCTCCGTAGGACTTATAATTTCCTTCGTAGGACTTATAAACTCCTTATTTGGCTTTTTTAATCTCCTACGTAGGACTTATAAACTCCTTATTAGGCTTTTTTTATTTCCTATGAAGGAGTTACAAACTCCTAATTAGTCTTTTTTATCTCCTACCTTTGACTTATAAAATAGATAAATACAGAATCCATAAAGAAAGCCCAACACGACAAAATTGAAAATGTTGCAGGCTCGGTTTGATTGAGCCTGTTCATGGACGGTACTGGAAAGGAGGTAGGACTTAGGACTTATAGACACCTTATTAGGCTTCTTTATCTCCTTCGTATGAGTTATCACTTTTTATAGAACATGTTAAATTGGCATAAGAACGCTTCCGAAGCAACGCTAACATAAGCACGCAATGAATGTATATAATGCAAATTTCGTCACATATAGAGTAAGAAGAAAATTAAAAATTACGTCAAATTCACTTAAGACTAAAGTTGCTTAGCAGTGTTTTATTGTTTTACAAAATGTAGAATATGTTATATTTACAAACATTACAATTCACGGCAAAATAAATTATTTCTCCATGGTCAGCAGTTTTCATTGTAAGTTGAACTGGTCAGCAATTTCTCTTATAATGTACAGTCCGTTAAATCTGCTGACCATATAGAATAAGAAGAGAATATGAATCTTGCACTATCGCATTGTCGCACAGCCGGACGACATCATTATTATTTACTATAGGTTTGAATAAAAAGTATATAGGTCTACAATAAGTATTTCAATATTGATAAAAGCAATGACAAAAGAAATGTATCATTTGGATATTCTTCTTGAATATGTCTTGAAAAATGAAATGCCTCCGTTTTTAGAAACGAACGTCATTGACGCGTTATGGACAACTCTTAAGAAAGGCTACACTTTCCTTAGTTTGAAATAACACAGATTTGTTTTTTTTTCCAAAAGAAAATAAAGGCTGCTCTAAGATTTGCTTGTACATCTTTGCTGTACTTCTAAATTATACTGTCTGTTAAGGATTAATAATATCTGTCATATGTTGTCATTTGGCATGGCGGGCACATGTCAGATGAAATTTCCGGCATGGGTTATACTATCGGAAATGCGAGTCTGATAAGCAAGAAAAAACATGCCGTTCATCATTTGCACTTTGCACGCTTTATCTATATGATGTTTTGATACAAAAACGACCGTACGGAGCCCCTACGGTTACATTTTCCACACTTTTTTCCCCGGAACTTAATTTGTTTTTACGAAATAATAATTCGTAATTACGAAATATTAATTCGTTTTCACGAAATAATTATTCGTTTTTACGAAATATTAATTCTTAATTACGAATTATTATTTCGTAATTGAGAAATATTAATTCGTAATTACGAAATATTTATTCGTTTTTTTCGAAATATTCATTCGTTTTTACGAAATAATTATTCGTTATTACGAAATATTATTTCGTAATTACGAAATATTAATTCGAAATTACGAAATATTAATTCGTTTTTACGAACTATTATTTCGTATCTACGAAATATTATTTCGTAACTACGAAATATTAATTCGTAAAAACGAAATGTTATTTAGTAATTACGAAATAATAATTCGTAAATACGAAATGATATTTCGTGAAAACGAATTAAATTTTAACTAGGGTTTCAAAGAGTTTTGGTAATAGTTATTAATAAGGCCTCGAAACTAAGTTCCTGACTGAATATAATAATCAGACAAGCCACACAAACACGAACATTTAGTAATTAAATTTAATTGCAAACGTTTCGGCTATATGCCTTCATCAGTGCAAAACATAATAAAATTACCGGAAGCGACGTCATAACGGAACACGCGTTAAACGCGCGAAAAACGTTATGGCGTTTAGCGGCAAAACTATGATAACATGTAGAAACAAATATTTATGCTATAAATAAAGCTGAAACATGAATTAAAATGGATCAACAGTGATACAGATGTCTATTAGACAGTGTTAATAAAAAAAGATAATAGACAAACATATTAATATTCATGTAACGCATTATAAATCATTATTGACTGAATATAAGGCATGTAATTGTAATATAAATAGTGTTTTATTTCTCCCCAAGTTTTAAAACTTAACACTTTTGTATATAAATTAAAATAATCGCCTTGCAATAGCGTTGCCGCCACAGCCGTGATAGTACACGCGCTGGGAAACTTTTGTAAAAATTTGGGGTCATTTGCTTGAAATCCAAATATGGACATTTTTTTCTGTTTCGTTCAGTTGAAATTATTCAGTTTTGTTATGAAATGTTATGTTTTTATGATCGCACGGTGCCCATACATAAATTGTAAGGAAATATACTTGGAGCCCCCCTCGCCCCTTTAGTTTAACTAATGTATATGATAAAATAAAATAATAATATAGCATGTTTCTTTTTTAAAGAAACATGTCAGAAAAGATTAATTGCCTAAAAATTTTAAGCATTTCTCATAGGAACATGTATTTGACAATGGGGAAGAAAAAGGCCATTTTGGATAGAGAATGACTTCTCCCTCAAAAACCCTGTTCACGTAAATATAATAACTTGTGAACCATTCGGCATATAATCGCAAGGTTGATCCAGGCTTGTAAATGATCCCTTTGTGAGATTAGTAGGTTCTTTGTCAAGCTCACAATGACCTTAAATAAAATTTCGTAAAAACGAATTAACATTTCGTAATTACGAATTAATATTTCGTAAAAATGAATTATTGTTTCGTAAAAACGAATTAATATTTCGTAATTGCGAATTAATATTTCGTAATTACGAAATCATGTTTCGTAAAAACGAATTAATATTTCGTAACAACGAATTATTATTTCGTAAAAACAAATTGATATTTCGAAATAACGAAATAACATTTCGTTTTATTATTTCGTATAAAGGAATTAATATTTCGTAATTACGAATTAATTGCCAGGAAAAAAGTGTCGACCTTAGGGTACGACCCGGGATAAATGTAAATTATACCAATATTTAATTGAAGTATACCATATTGACTTTATTTTAGCAAATAACTTGAAATAAGTATAGGACAAACGTTAATGGATTATAATTTAGATTTCAGCAACTATATTCAAAACGAGATAATTAATAAGAAGAAAATACTAATCATAACAATTTTTAAGATAGAAATATGTGTTAGATCAATCCATTCAATAGAAATAATAAGATTATACATTAATGGCTCTTTTCGACCAGATCGTCGTCTCGCATTGAAAAGAAATGAATTGCCTGAACACAATAAGAACAGTAAAATTGATCTAAAGTATAGATATTTTGGTCGCCTTCGATCCTGCGTATCTTGGGTACTGCATGACAAATATTTAAACTTGACGAAATAATTATGAAAAAAACACGCAATCTCAATAAACATAGTAGACATGTTTCTTACATGCGTGTGAATTAAACCTATCTATTGTAAAAAAAAGAAATAACCTCTTTAACCTTAACACGTATATCTTCTTACAAAAAAATTTCAGCAGAAAAAATGAAATGACCTTGAAAAACAATTTTAACTGAATAAATATTGATTGTGACAAGTACAAAAATATTTCAATGTTTTGTTAAACAATATGAAATCCGATAACTGAGCAAGTGGCCTACATACAAATATGTCGCAAGATTTAAAATTACATTTTCAAAAAATAGGGAATTTCCCCCCTACCTTGACTTACTACGAATAGCTAAATATATTATGTTCTAGTTTCATATTTATAATCAGCACAAAGGAAATTTCTATTTTTATCCGCCATCGTCTGCTTTACATTTGACGCAAAACTATCTAAAATGGCGGATAAAAAGGAAAATAATCCGTTAAAATTCAACAACATAGAGCTCGAAGACTCTTTAAACCATTTTCATAAGGTATGATGTTTTACATTTTCATAAATTTCACCTCATAAATACATCAGATCAGTTTATATGTACTATAAGTTATATATACAAGCAAAATGGCTAGGTTCCTACCCTGTGTTTATAGACGATCTGTTCTCTTATGTATATACATGTATTGATATTATTAGTAATAATATTGAAAGGCAACATGTTTTGATTTTTATTTCATTTTGAATTATGTTAAACTCCTACATGTGATAGACAATTTAACAGAGAGTTCTTTGTTATAATTGACAAAGTTTGAAATTTATTAACGTTAAGTTTGTTTTGAAGGTTAGTTTTTTAATGTACATTGTATTTGTATAATTTCTTGTTATACTTAAACTGTCCTAGGAGGCTTTTTCGCCGCTTTGTGTAAATAATATATAATTAGTATTTGCATAGTTAGTCACTATATGAAACCATAGGCCTGCGCTGAATAGTATATCATTGATAATGCTGAATGAATGTAAGACGTGGTGTTGGTTTTCTTTCACAAAATGTGTTATATGTCAGTCACATGCACCCCTTTTTGCAATTGATTTATTTATTATGCAAAGCGTTGACAATAATTTTATAGCAATTATTGTATAAAACAATCAAATATTTATACATGTACTATTTCATGATACATTTAGTGCGCTAAATGGGTTATTGAAATGTAGTGTTAAATTTACTTCATTTATTAAACAGTAAAGCTACATTAGACACGCACTAACATTTTTAAATGCTAAGATTTCAAGTCAGAAAAGAGGAAGAATGTCATCTTCAAACAGTTCTGCTAATAGTCTAACGTCGATTTAATATCATTTGGCCAGGTTTTGTCAGTTATACTACTTTGCTCTAATGATAAAACCATTTTTTACGACTTAAAATGAAATATGCTTCTTCACCTTTTAATATCACACATACTTTACTTATGATTAGCTTTATTCAATCTTGCCTCAAAGCACATTTAAGATTTTACCAAAACATAATAAAATGTTTGCTTGCTAAATGTTCTACAGCTACATATATTTAAGAATGTACGCAGTGTTGATTTTTCTTTCAATTTAGAAACAAGATACATCTGTTCAAAGATATTCTATGCTCATCCTTGATTAAAATATTTTTATACTGGAATTTATCAAAACTCTATGAAATTCTAACTGAATACTAGTTTGTTAAATTTGAATGAATAAACTATGTATGGGCAGCTGCGTTACCAATTACAGGTCAAGTAAAGTTTTTTTCTTCTTAAAAAATGCCAGTTTTTAATGCCACTATATATTCATATTGTTACCACCTATATTGTATAGAGTTTTCAACCAAACATATCTACCTAGTGTGAAGTCAAAACATGATTACTTTATATTTATAAAGAGACTTTGTAGCAATATTTTCTAATATCACATTTGAGCACAGTATATCTTTAGCGAATTCACCCACCACCGAAGTCCTACTAAAGTCCATACATAGGTTTATGCCGTTGATCTAAAAGAACTATAAATCATGTTTACTTTCAGAACACAAGATATATCAAAACCCCTATCAAAGTGACAGCATGGATTCTGATAATACTGAACGTAATAATGTTACTGTCGTTGCTTGTTTTGACCATAAAATGGAGGGAATTAAGACAAGATAGCATGAAACCCCGGGAACAGACAGTATGTGTAAAATGTTCAGAAATGGGGCTTGGTGTAAACGAACTTCCAGAGGGTATATCAAAAGATAAAGAATGCAATTCAACCGACTGTAATTGTTGTGGACAAACAAGCACTATTTTAACTAGGATGGTTTCAGAGGTATTGTTTCTATGAAATAAATGTGTCGATGTAGTGTTCTCAAAATATGTCAAACAAATCAAACACAATCTTATAAATTGAAGCACTCATTATTTACAATTTTTCAATACTCTATTAAACCAGCCTCGAATATATATGTTTTGGTCTTTTAGTGTTATAAATTTTTTAGACGCTGTCTTTACTGTTTGATTTAAGGCTTTTCAAAAGTACTAAAAAAGAGGAGAAAAAGCATTCAACACTGAAGATTATAGTAACCAAGTCAGCTTACAAACATTTTACTGACCTGTTCTTTAAAACGAACATATGTCTAATGAATGTTACTTTTAACATATCTTTTGTAACTTCTATTATATTTAAGGCCGTACAGGAAAGATCAACAGAGGTTAGATCAAGTAAGTACTAGGGATATTATCACTTGTTCTGATAACAATCTCGTATTTTGAAAATATATATAGGTAACAACTTAAGCTTTCCAGCAAAGTTGTTACAAATCATATTCATTATAAATTTAGTTAAATTAATATAAACATGACAAAGTTTTATGAACATTATACATTGAACTGTATATTAATCCTGTAAATATACATGTATATCTAACTTAAGCAAAGAAAAATTATATTATAATATATTATGAAATTATATTAAAACAGGTCTATACCCATTGGTTAGTGAAGAATGCAAAACAACTACCGAAGTAATGCCATCAGCACAAGTCAATGGAGTGTTGATGCCACAGACGGAGAGAGGTGTGGCATTTCTTCCAAAACATTGTGTTTAAATTTATACTAGTATTATAATAATTATAACTATGATATATATTTTTGCGTTTAAACTGACGAAAATGTTGTTAATAAATATTTCGGTTGGATTTGACTAAGCTTGTTTATGAATGTCCATTTTATTTATAGTGTTAAAATGTCGGTATTGTTATTTCATCAAATTCATTATCATTTATGGAACATTTCAGTATTAACTACACAAGCGACTTTAGCCTTTATATTTAAAGATATATTGTATTGTGTAGCTTAATTATATTTTAGAGCGATACATAAAGTGTATTATGCTGTTTTATTATTCAAGGTCATGGCAACGTCATTCACTGGTATAGGGAAGAACCGTCGATCCTGACCGACCTGATTGAGTATAAACATGGCCGATTGTCAGTCAAAAAGTCGGGCTTCTACTACATATTTTCACAGCTGACTTTTAAACACAGTCCACCGTCAAGAAAGAAAAGGAGTCAGTATAATACCATTACATTGCATGAAGATCTACCAAATCATTTGGACCATTTCATTTATCATACCTCGAGTGAAACGGGAAAACACGAGAAAATTCTTGAAGGCAGTAAGTCACGTTGTGAGATGCCATCTCTGAATGATGAGATAACGAGCTCTTTAGGGGCAGTGTTCTACTTAGCATCAGGCGATGAAGTTTTCGTGAAAGCTTCACATCCTGGGTTTATCTCACCAAGCAAGGAACGTAACAACTTTGGGTTATATATGACATAAATTTTCCAAGGTCATAATTGTATGAAGAAAGATAAAAACAAATTCTCAAAAAATAATCAAATATGTGCCATTAATTAACAATAAGAGATCTTAGAAAGCAACAGAGACGGTTGTGATATTAACGTGAGTGCAATTATTTTCTGACCAAAACAATCAACGCCTAAATAATTATTATTAGGTAAGACAAAACAACAACAACGAACAATTAGATTACAAAACCAAAGTTGATCAAGTGCGACTCAACTTATATTGATTTAGAAATTTATTTGCTATGACATTTACAATTTGTTAAAATTTCTAGATTAATATTTCCGAAAAGAGATAAAAGTCATCTCTCCTTTCTTATAAAACGTGTATATGTGATAATGTTGATAAATAAACACACATTACCTGAATTTGCCTTATGATCACTTGTAATAATTAATCACATTCCTTTTTTCTTATAAAATCAATGTAAAATGGAACAAATGTCATGATTTGAACAAACCTTGTATACATGTAGTAATGGTCTATCATGAACACAATCGCGCTATTAGTTTAAGAATGGATTCACGATATGTAACAACGTAATCCCAATAACTGGGCCGGACACGAGTCATGATTTAAATAAACAAATTTGGTAAAATACCACTAGACAACTATTATACATATATATCAATGCTGTGATTTGGATAAATTTAATATTTTACCTTATGAGTCTATATAAAATCAAATCAAGTGTTCACAGGGATGGGGACAATTTTGACACCAGGGTCATGATTCTTATAAACTCAAAAACTAAGTGTCTATGTAAAAGCAAGTGACTACCCACCGAACCTTCAGTGTAATGATTCGAACGAAATCCTTGGTATAGATCTATTCAGAAAGGCTTCACTCTAAAAAACTAATAATAAGTTATGAGAATTCAGGTTTGGGCGCTTTATGAATGTATTCCTACATAAGACAACGTACAATCAAGTATAGTAACCCCTAGCTAGGCCATGGCAAATTTTAACCATTGTATTATAATTTGATTAAACTTGCTAGAGTTTTATTAGAAAATGGCAAACATTAATGGCTCTCGGTCTAACGCTTACTTCCATGACTCATGCAGATATTCAATGTACCGTTTTAAGTTTATAAGAGCTTTGTGCAAGAGTGCAAGAAATCTACATGGAAAGTTATCAAAATTTAACAAGTAGTTACAGGGAAGATATCATTTGAAACGATTTGCATGACGGATGAACGGATGGAAGGTCGACGGACATAAAGTTCTTTTTCACTGAGATAGAATCCGAATACCAAATCCGCGAAAGCCATACGTGTGCATGTTGCTTCACTTATTAATAGATATTTTATATTCGATTTATTAATTTTGAACAAAATGTAATATAGAAAAAACGAATACGTTAAAAGACGCCCACAACGGCAAAATTGAAATTGTTACAGACTCGGTTTGATAGCGGATGGGTGAAGTAAATGCAAATTACCGTCTTCGTCCCTAAGCAATGTTTAAGCAGAATAGAATTCAATATCTAAACATGAAAATAATGAAATCTTGCAATTTAGAATTTACACGGCGGTCAATGGAACCTTCAATATGACCCATAGAAAACGGAGAATGGAACTCATACAGAATACATGAACAAATTAACAAATCTATCTACGAATAACTGTTTGTTACTGCAAACTGTGGTTCACAAATAAATGCCCTTTACATACCTATTTGAGGTACAATGCAAAATATAAATGCCCAAATGGAAACAAACTATGTAGTGTCAAATGATTAAATAAAAATTGATCATTTAAGAAACGAAGTTTTGACACTCACCTTTATCAAGTTACAGTAAAGTTATGCCTCAAGTATGAAAAATTAACTTAACTAACCTCCGATCGATGTCTATTTTGTTGTCTGTTTATCTACTGAAGATTAATTCCTTTCTTTACAAAAAAAAATATATCAAGAGGATATGACCTTGGGATATCAATGTCACTTCAACACATTCGTCCAGAATCTTTTAAAACTTATGCTTACCGAATTATAGGTTTATGTATACAAGTTATTGTAATAAACACGTGAGCACAGTAACATTCCAAATATATAAAAGAAAAATTCACTTTTTCCACTTTATATATAACTTTCGTTCAATTAGTGCAATTATTCTGCTGAATATAAGAAAATGATAAAACGTGGTAATCATAGCGGAAGCGGAAGCGAAAAGGGTGGAGTCATTCACACTTCTGATATCCCCAACATTTATAAATATAACACTGTTTATCTACATATAAGTGTATACATACCTGCGATTTGAATTATTCAAAAATATGTATATATTTATATTGTTTTTAGCGTCATTTTTCATTGGATAATCGTGACGTTTATATAGTTTTACATACACGGCTGCTATCGATTCATGAATACATCTTACTTTTTTTCTGTAAAAATGATGCTTGCTTTTTTATAAATTCGTTATAAAGATTGTTGCAATATAACCCTTGCTTAACGGCTCGGGTTATATTTACAAATAACCGTTTATATAGGGCCATATAACCTGTCAACGATCTTATAACTAATAATGTTGTGGCGACGTTATTTTACTTTAAAAAAAAGTATTATCAAAAAGTTAAGTTTAACGAGGTATCTTGTTTTATCTAAGCCTTTATCTAAGCAATCATCAGGCCCGTACTTATCATTCACGTTAGCAATAAACAACTACGAGGTATCTTGTTTTATCTAAGCCTTTATCTAAGCAATCATTAGGCCCGTATTTATCATTCACGTTAGCAATAAACAACTACGAGGTATCTTGTTTTATCTAAGCCTTTATCAAAGCAATCATCAGGCCCGTACTTATCATTCACGTTAGCAATAAACAATTATCAGTACTTGCTACGCTAGCTACCCCAGGAAAACTATGTCATATAATCATGGTTTATAAGTAAATAAACTTAAGTGAAACAAATATTCCCATCACAATTTTACAGTAATGCCATGTATGGTATGGATAAGTATTTCAGGCATGACCCGCAAAATTTAATTAAGCTGGAGAAATGAAAACCCTCGTAAATGACTTATTATCACGGAAACCTTAATTTGCGCAGTGGCAAAATCGTAAGAAACAAAATTAAAAAAGATAACATGAACTTGTTAACGTTATATCAATGTGCTATAATTAAATAAGCAGTTACGTAGTTTTAGTACGGAGAGGTTTATAAAACGATCAATATTGATCTATCTTGATTTGTTCTTTGTTTTTGATTGTCATGGATAACACTCGTCAAGCAAATTCACTTAAACAGATCATTTATACTTGTAACGAAACAACACATTGACTTTACTTAACAACGTACGTCAAAGTATTGTTTACGTGTTGAAACCAATGCATATATCCTTGACCTGTCAAATTTTAATTATCAGATTAGTGCATACAATAAGAATTTCAACACAACATTTTGTTTGTCAATGTTTGTGGGTAAATTTAGTGTTATTCAAATGAAAGGTCACAGTAAGTATCCTCTTGAGTATTAAGTGGTTGGCATGTTGCCTAAATTTTAAAAAAACGCATTATAATTTACAAAGCAAGTACATAGCAGGATACACGTAATCATTTCATGTATCTGAGTGATTTGTCCTTACCCTACTTACCGATTTCATTTTGGGAAACCAAGTTTTAGCACAATAACATATTTTTAAACACAAGTCATTGCTTGTGTCACATTACGTAATATGATTTTGCTATGCTTGATTAACTTTATTGATTTCCGTTTCAAATATGCCTGAACTTCTTAAATGCACTTCTTAAACTTCTTAAAAGTTTACAAGTTATTTCTACTTTTTAAAAATTTGAAGGGAATTAAAGTCCACTGATATGTAACATTGATGAATGTGTCATGATATTGAATCATTCCCTTGCATATTGCTGTTTCTTTTTACAGGGGTTCTTTATAGAATTTCTTACTCATTTGTATAAAATGTTGTTTGTAAAAAGATAGAAACTATCAGATCCAAAAAGACATTACGAAGTCTTGTTGACCCAATTTACTATTATACTGGAGGACCTTTTATCAAAATGTTTCTTTGAAAACTATTTAAACCATAATATAGAGCAAATATCTGAAATGTATATATATATAAGGTGTAATGATTAAATATAGAAATGTATTTAACTTAATAAACGTAAGTTTTTTTCATGAAAAAGGAAATAAATCTTTAAGTATACTATAAATCCATACACAATATTGAGACTTATATCATTTTTAATTGTATACCCACTTTTCTCTTATGCTCTGCTTAGCATTAGTTTACCGCTGAAGATAATGATAAAATGTTATTGTATTGATATATCATGACATTTTATGAACATTTATTTCATGGATACTAAGGGGTATGATAATGATGATGTATTTATAATATGCATTTGATAGATATTTATATACAAGTATCTCATGATTGATTACTTTTGTACATTAACAAATGTAACGCGATCTTGGTACAATACAAGTGCGTATATCTAATTGAAACAGCAACAGACATTTACAAATCCCTTCATTTATAATACATTGTTTTACTTCAAATAATTATATTTATACATACTCAATAAAACGTCAAATGCTTCATTGTTTTTATGTCTATACGAAATGGTTGATGTTCCGGAAAAGCATTTTACTGGTTAATTGGAAATGGTTTAATCTCATCATTATAAGCTCCACTCTCAGCAGAGAACATAGAAACTTTTGAGAGGCCCATATCGTGCCCTAGAAATGCTTTTTCATTTCTCGAAATCTTTTTTTTGTCCTATAATTATTCCCAAATAGTTACTCATTGGTCAATTACCTGAACCAGCTTTTGATTTTTGGCAATTAGTACAGATATACTGATGTAGTATTTTGTATGGAAGTTTGTTTAAATTTTACTTCTGGTATGACAAATAATTTCACATTCAGTGCTATCTTCTTCAGATTTTAAGCACTTACCATGCCATAAAACCATTATTTAACATTATAAAACTTATATTGTCCTTTCTAAAGGAGGTAAAAAGTCGTTTCTGAGGTATTATGTGCCTACAAATAGATTCTTTTCAAGTTAATTAAAGAAGGTGTTAGACCCATGAAGCAACATATTAACATAGAATGTACATGTTTACATGTAAAAAGATATAAAATAATCAGCAGTTTTGCTCATAAAAGATATTTTAACAATATTATCTGCAATAATTCATTCGAAGTAAATTTTAATATAAAATGTATTATTTCTGTATAAAATACAATGCGCAGTTGAACTTACTTAATACCATTTTATGTGATAATTGCATACATGCACTCGCAAAGTTTATCAATGTGTATGATTGCCGTATCAACGCATATTTCGGTTTGATTAGCTTGTCAAATGATAATTAAATAAGGAATTTCTGTTATG